GAGGGAGGAGCACAGTCCGCAGGGAGGGAGGAGCACAGTCCCCAAGGAGGGAGGAGCACAGTCCACGCTCGCACCCTGCCCCTTTGGTCTGCACTGCAGAGGAAGATGCCAGGGGCATGGGCTGAGCTCCTGACCCCGGGATGGACCTCTCTGTGCTGACGAGGGTCACGGGGAGGCCCAAGCTGCCCTGTCCACTGCCCCTAGGTGACCTGAACAGTGCAGAATGCTGAGCAAATCAACGCTCTTTCCAGGGAAGCGGAATCCAGAGTCAGAGCCTGTTCCTCCACTTTTGAGAGGCGCCAGGACGTGCCTCCCGCTTGCCCAACCCTCCAGACTCGGGACTCAGGGCTGGGCTCTCTGCGCGTGCACTAATGCCACAGCACAGGATGGCCAAGAACAGGACCTCTGTCCCCTGTCCCACATGGGCGCCACCTCTAAGCCTGCCTATCATGGACCGTTGTCCATGGTGTCCAGGTGAACGCCCCGGGTGGCCCTCGTGGGACCACATGAGGCGCAAGTCTCCCACAGGATCACCAGATATAAAGAAGTTCCCCGTGCGATGTGAATTTCAGGTATGCAGCCAAGGCTCCTTTTTAGTGTCAGTATAGCCCAAATACTGTTGGGATATACTGGTACTAAACAATTACTCCTAATTGTTTTCCTGATGGTCAAGCTCACCCTAACCTCACAGTCAAACTGAGTCTCCCACATTTTCATTGGCCAAAGGAAGTCCTGCGTGCCCTTCTATAAGGGTGAGGGCGTGGGACGGTGTCCTTGGCCTCCAGGAGCCTTCTCTCTTGGTATTTCTAACTGCAGGTCTTTGGTTTCTGTCAGGCAGGACCGTATGACACTGCTTTAAAGCAGGCGAGTGTCAGGGATTCCACTCAGCCTCCCCTGCTCCCTCTGATCCCTCTGATGCCTGAATACATCGCTGACTTCTCACAGGGCACACGCTCCACTAAGACGGAGAGCCCGGAGCTGGCTCATCCATAGGATGGGGGAGCCCGCCGTCTGACGGGGGTGTGACATGGGCCGCCGGGCTCTGTGTGGCGCTGGCCCTGCCCCCAGCTCTCTCGTGGGCGGTGTGGTCCCAGCCCTACCTGGGATGTAGATGTCCACGGGCACGATGCGGTCGCAGCCCCTCACCACCGAGTAGGAGTAGTGGTAGTAGCCTCCTCCGTTGGCGCAGCTGTCGGGGAGGGGACGTGAGGGAAGCGTGCTGAGGACCTGCCTGCCCACCCTCCCTCTTCACAGCTGTGGGGGAGGTGCCGTGAGGAGCACCTGCCGGGGACCTGCCCTGTCCACCCTCCCTCCACAAGGCCTCGCCCCATCCCCACCCGCCTTCAACTGCAGGCCAGGCACCAACGAGGCTGGAACTTGTCACGGAGAAGCAATGAGCAAACACGTACAGGCTCCCTGAGCCTCCGTGGGACCAGTGGGGCGCAAGCACGCGTGTGGCTGCCAACTCGGGGAAAAGCGCTCCCCTCCCGAGGGGGCTCCTGACCATCGATTCCTGGGGCTGGGAAGTGTCGGATCACATGTGTCAACAAAAAGCCACTTCAAGCAGCCACAGTGCCAACACCCAGCCCCTGTCTATGGGGCGGCTGAGCCTCACGCCAGGCCCTCGCCCGATTCCGGCTCTGTCGGTGAGGTGCTGGGGTCCACCCGGGGAAGGGAGCTGGAAACCCCAGGCGACCACACAGACTCCACTCCCAGCACTGCTTCCCACAGCCGTAAAAATGGACATAACCTGAATGCCCAGCAGTGGGAGACGGTTATGAAAACTCTGGAATATTCTAATTCTCTGTTTAGAATTAGATCAGTAATATATCCACACAGTGGGATATTATTCAGCCAAGAAAAGGAGCGAGGCTCGGACACAGGCCACCGCATGGATGCGCCTTGAGGACGTCATGCTCAGTGAGAGATGCCAGACACAGAAGGCCATGCAGTGTGTGATCCTGTTTCTGTGAAATGTCCAGGAAGGGCCCATCCACAGAGACAGGGAGGGGAGGTGTGGGCACTGGGGCTCGGAAGGGGATGCAGAATGACTGCTGATGGGGACAGCGTTTCATTTGGGGGTGATGAGAATGTTCTGGAATTAGAGGTGGTGGCTTAAAAACCACTGAACTGCTCGCTTTAAAAGGGTAAACTTAGCAAGACCCAATCTCTAAAAAATTTAAAAAATTAGGCACAGTGGAGCACATCTGTAATCCCAGCACTTTGGGAGGCTAAGGTTGGGGGATCGCTAGAGCCCAGGAGTTCAAGGCTGCAGTGAGCTACGACTGCACCACTGCACTCCAGCCTGGGCAACGCAGTGAGACTCTGTCTCTAAAAAATAAAAATAATAAATACTGACTGGGCGCGGTGGCTCATGACTGTAATCCCAGCACTTTGGGAGGTTGAGGTGGGTGGATCATGAGGTCAGAAGATCGAGACCATCCTGGCCAACATGGTGAAACCTCGTCTTTACTAAAAATATAAAAATCAGCCAGGCGTGGTGGCGGGCGCCTGTAATCCTAGCTACTCTGGAGGCCGAGACAGGAGAATCGCTTGAACCTGGGAGGTGGAGACTGTACTTAGCCGAGATCGTGCCACTGTACTCCAGCCTGGGCGACAGAGCTAGACTCCGTCTTCAAATACATAAATAAATAAATACTTTAAAATGTTAAGAGACTAAATATCTTTCAATGTTATGGGGAAATGACTAAAAATGATGGCAAGGCCAGGTGCGGTGGCTCACGCCTGTCATCCCAGAACTGTGGGAGGCCGAGGCGGGCAGATCACCTGAGGTCAGGAGTACAAGACCAGCCTGGCCAACACGGTGAAACCCCATTTCTACTAAAAACACAAAAATTAGCCGGGTGTGGTGGTGCGTGCCTGTAATCCCAGCTACTTGGGAGGCTGAGGCAGGAGAATGGCTTGAACCCGGGAGGCGGAGGTTGCAGTGAGCCAAGATCATTTCACCGGACTCCAGCCTGGGTGACAGAGCAAGACTCTGTCTCAAAAAAAAAAAAAAAAAGAAAAAAAACTTATGGCAAGTTGGAAGGCTGAGATTATAAAACCATCTACAGCACTGGTCATCACTTGTGTGTGGGTAAAGCAGAGAACTGGGCGGAATGTGGGGTCTGTGGCGTCGGGGTGGACGGGAGCAATCCTTCTGGGGAGAGGACCCCCAGTCTGCCTGGGGTGGAGGCACCAAGACGGCTGAAGGGCAGAGCTGGGACCACGTGGGATTTCACTGAATGTAAATGACACTTTTGATAAGCGCCATTAGAGCACAGCCAGGCCAGCACTCGCGCCACTTCTGTCCCTGGAGACGCCCCGCCTTGCACTCACCTCCCCATGGAGATCACGTAGCGCGGCTCCGGCATCTGGTCGTAGACCTGGAAGAGAGGCGGGGTCCATGCGCAGCTCACTCTGGGGGCAGCTGGGCGGCGGGGAAGAGGCCTACCTTGCGGAGCGCTGGGGCCATCTTGTTAGTGAGCGTGCCGGCCACGATCATGACGTCGGACTGGCGCGGGCTGGCGCGGAAGACCACGCCAAAACGGTCCATGTCGTAGCGGGGTGCGGCCATGTGCATCATCTCCACGGCGCAGCAGGCCAGACCGAAGGTCATGGGCCACAGAGAACTCTGCGGAGGCCAGGCTCGGGTCAGACGCCACCCCTGGAGCCCCGCGTGGCCCGGCGTGAGATTCCACGTGGAGCACCTAGAACCCCCGGCTCATGTCCCGGGGGGGCAGCCGGCAGAGGTGAGAGGCACAGCGGCTCCTGCAGGTGGCCTCCTGGCCCCAAGAGGGTTGTAAAGCGCGCCCCACCAGCCACGTTCAAAATAAAATAGAAACGGGTGAGATCTGTCCTCATCACACAGTTCCCCAAACCCAGTGTATCCTAAGTCCCACCATTTGAGCAGGGGGCTCCAGCCACTCTCTTGAGCGTGTGGGCTGCAGGCGAGTAGCAGCGCAGGTCTAACCGGGAACTCTCTGCCTTAACTAGATCTGGGTCTGCAGACCAGGTGCGATGCCTCCGGGAAGCCCTCTCAGATCTCCTTGGCCACTCCCTCCCCTCTCCTCCATCCACGTGGCTTCTCATTTCCCCCACGGTTCCTGCTGTCCCTGCACGCAGCTCTGAGACCTGGCAGGGGCCTCTGCTGCATGTGTTGATGGGTGACAGGGCCAAGCTACAGAGCGAGGCAGGGCTGCCCGGGCAGAAATGGCCAGGCTCACCTGCCCGCCAGGAGCCTGTGTTGGGATGGCCCGTGGCCATTCTCGGGTTCCCTCCATTAGAAACTATCCTGCAGTGGGCATCCCTGTCTCGACCACTGCGGCCCTGGCAGGACGCTCACCATGGCATTGTTTAGGAGACAGAAAACAAAAGGACACAGTGAACGTCCATCAGTGGGGCATTGTTGAACCCGGGCTGTCGCGGCGAGTGCCGCAGGCGCTGGAGGGAGCTGCCCGTGCCCACGCTGCAGGGGGATGGCAGGGGCTGTGTGGGGGCTGCTGCCACAGGCAGGGGAGGCTTTAGACGGGTACTGAGAAGGATCTACTGCCTTCACACGCGCTCCTTTTAACTTAAAACACCATTTTCACCTTAAAAGAGAAACAAGAGGAACTCGCAGAAGCCAGAAAGACAATGACGGAAAGGGAGGGGTCATTTCAAGCAGGGTCTGAATACTCAGATGGAACCACAGGCCACCAGGCCAGCACAGGGGCCTCCGGGAGGGTCCAGCCTGCTCCAGGCCGCAGGGGTGTGTGTGCATCAGTGTGTGTGCCTGTGTGCATGCATGCGAATATGCGCACATGCATGTGTCCACATAAGTACGTGTGTGCGCGTGTGCATGTGTGCGCATGTGTGTGTATGTTTTTGTGTGCGCGTGTGCGAGTGTGTGGATGTGTGTGCATGTGTGTGTGCTAGTGTGTGTGTGTGTGCACGAGTGCGAGTGTGCGTGTGTGCACGTGTGCGTGTGTGCATATATGTGCATGTGTGCCTATGTGTGTGCATGTGTGCGTGTGCATACGTGTATATGTGCGTGACTGTGCGTGTGGTACATGTACACACGTCTGTCCATACATGTGAGCTTGCATGCACATGTACTCGTGTGCATGCATGTGTTGTGTGTGTCCGTGTCTGTACATTTGTGTATGTGTGTGCCTGTGAGTGTGCAGAGGCCCTGGCGCTCCAGGAGGGCCTGCAGCTCGTAGTAGACTCACCCGGCGGGCCCAGTTGACGAGGTCATCCAGCTTGGCCACCACATACTCGCCCCGGCTGCTGGGTTTGGGAACCATGGCTCCAGCCTTCGGCAGGGCAGGCTGGGCGCTGTCACAGAGACACATGGGCACAGGAGGCGTCAGCCACGCAGGTACTTCCCAGAGGCGGATGCCGGCCCCCACGGCCACTGCCAGAGGCCTGGATCCACATGAGGTCAGGGACTAGGCTGTGCGACCCCTTCCCTGCCCCATCCAGGCACCCCTGTGGCTGCGGCGCTGATGCAGAAAATGAAGGAGGGGCGGGGGGGGCAGGGGGTACGGCCTCCCCTAGAAGGCCAGCTTCACCTGCTTGGGCCATCGGTGGCCACGCTCTGATGGACATCTCGTGCCTGCACAGCCGCGCCCACGCTGGAGCTACTGGGAGATGGAGCGCGGGTCAGTGGCCGTCCCAGGCCCCTCCGACTCCCCCAGCCACACTCACTGTTGTCCTGCTTCTCCCCTCCCTGATGCGGGACTGCTCTCGCCTCTGCCCATCAGCACTTGGGCCACTGGTCAGAGCCCCTGGGGCCATCTGGCCACTGCCCTGACTCCGAATGATGGCCCAGACTTGAATGGAGTTTCTTTTGTGATGTACCCAGCAGGTCAACAGTGTCCAAGCAAGGACGGTCCCAGGATCATCCACAGAAGGAAACTGGGACCAGGCCTTCCACATGTGACCAAGGTCAGATCCCTGGGTATGCGTCCTCACCGCCCTATCAGTCGCCTGGGTCTCCAGGAGGCCTGCCCGTGGCTGCCATCTGCACAGAGCTCACAGAATGCCTTCCCATCACAAGTGGCGGTGAGCTCTGACGGTGCTGAGCCAGGCCCACAGGGTTTTCCTCCTGACTGTCCAGCCTTTGCCACTGCATGGACTGTTCCAGGGAGGGTCCCAGCACATCACGTGCAGCGTGCAGACTGTCACCTGCATCCTTTCCTTAACATACACACACGTGACCTTCATAAGGGCCCGCCCCCTTTCGTCTGGCGCTGCTGAAGGCCCCTCCCAGCTCAGGGCTGGAGACTCAGGCACTCACCGCAGACCAAGGATCCGGAAGCCGCGCAGGCCAGGAGCTGCAGAGAGGACCACAGGGGTGGGGACAGTGAGCCGTGGGGACAGTGAGCCGTGGGCAGCACCAGGGGCCACCGATTCAGGACCCCTGGATGGGCCACAGGGCCAGCCTCCAGGCACTTCCCCGTCAGACTCCTGCCCGCACGGCCTAGCTCTGACCCCACCTCAAGTACCACTTAACAAACATTAGGTAACAAGGGGGTTTTCAGAATGTGAGCGACTCTTAGTCCCCTGCTTGAGACCCCATGACCCCAGAAGAAACCCAAACGCTGCCCCGTCTCCCCGCCCTGGCGATATTCACCAGTACCTGCTGCTCTCCTGCCCCAGGGCCTCCGCGCCGGCTGCTCCCCTGCGGGGGACACCCCGCCTCACAATTGCACACCACTGGCCCCTTCTCATGAGGCAGGTTTCAGCTCAGATGCCCGGGGCGTCCCGCCTACACCAGCACCCCAGGTCCTCCTGTTGCCGGCACCCGGTTCTATCTCCATCTATGCGTGCTTGTGGGGTGCCTGCCACCCTGGCAATGCCAGGGCCTCCCTGGGTGCCCAATGCTCGTCCTGGCCTCAGTTGTGCCTGACAAGCGTGTGCTGGGTGCTCCAGGCCCTGGCTGGTGCTCGGGGATTTCCCACGCAGCTGAGCACAGGCCCCATCCTCCAGGAATCTAGTCGGCTGAGCAGGCAGGGCATTGCCCACGTCAACCTACACAGCAACGCGCCCCTAGAGGAGCCAGCCTCAAAGGAAGCACAGAGGAGGGAACGCGCCTGCACGAAGGCTCCTGGGAGAGCCTTCCCGAGGCGAAGGCTGAGGCCAGAGCAGGGCCTTGCCACACCCAGGGGCACTCTGCGGGGGGAAACGCCTGGAGGTGCCAGGAATCCTGGCTCACAAGGAAGAAGCCAGAAAGGCAGGCTTGGTGCTGGTGACAGCTAAACTGTGTCCCTCCACTTGACCTGTATCTGAAGCTCTAACCCCAGGACCTCAGAATGTGACTGCTTTTGGAGAAGGGGTCTTTAAAGGGATCATTAATGGCGGGGCGCAGTGGCTCACGCCTGTATTTCCAGCACTTTGGGAGGCCGAGGCAGGTGGATCACTTGAGGTCAGGAGTTTGAGACCAGCCTGGGCAACGTGGTGAAACCCCGTCTCCACTAAAAATACAAAAATTAGCTGGGTGTAGTGGCGGGCACCAGTAATCCCAGCTACTTGAGAGACTGAGGCAGGGAGGTGGAGGTTGCAGTGAGCTGAGATCGTTTCACCACACTCCAGCCTGGATGACAGAGGGAGACTCCATCTCAAAAAATAAAATAAGGGTCATTATAATGTGCAGTGAGGTCATGAGGGAGGGCCCTCATCTGATATGACTTATGTCCTTGTAAGAAAAGGCTTTCAGGATACAAACACGTACAGAGGGAAGATGCAGGGAGCAGATGGCCATGGGCAAGCCAAGGACAGAGGCCTCAGCAGGAACCAACCCTGTTGACCCCCAGTCTTGGCCTTCCAGCTGCCAGAACTATGCGAACATCAGCTTCTGTTGTTTAAGCTGCCCAGGTGATGGTACTCTGTTGCTGTGGCCCCAGCAGATGCGGGGTGAGGCCCAATGGAGAGGCTGTAGGCAGCTTCCAGGGACCAGGACCAGGGTTTGACGCCTCCAAATGCAGCCGTTTATGGGGCCTTCTCCTGCCTCTGAGCCCCTCCCTCACCCCAGCCTTAGCCTCATCCCGGGTTGCTATTTCCCATGGCCCTGTCCAGGCCACAACTCTCTGAAGGACACAGGCCTGTGACCTACTTCTTGGCATGCCTGAGGCTGGGCACAGCAGACAGGCTAACTGCCCAGCTCCAGGCTCTGGTGGGAGCTGCCCCACTCCAGGCGTCAGTTTCCCAAGCTGAAAATTCTGGACTTTGGAAAAGCTCCTAGCAGAGGAAATGCTCTTCTGAGAATTTCTGAGGTGATGGGATTCTGTGCCTCTGGGTCCGGCTTTTTTTTTTTTTTTTTTTTTTTTGAGAACGGAGTTTCACTCTCGTTGTCCAGGCTGGAGTGCAATGGTGCGATCTTGACTCACTGCAACCTCCGCCTCCTGGGTTCAAGCGACTGTCCTACCTCAGCCCCCCCAGTAGCTGGGATTACAGGCATGCATCACCACACTCTAAATTTTGTATTTTTTGTAAAGACGGGGTTTCTCCATGTTGGTCAGACTGGTCTTGAACTCTGGACCTCAGGTGATCTGCCCACCTTGGCCTTCCAAAGTGCTGGGATTACAGACGTGAGCCACCGCACCGTGGGCCAGGCATTCTTAACAAGGGGCCTGGTGAGGAACTGTGAACTTGCTTGGAATAAAAAAACAAAATGTCTTTGTTGTCTTACGGAAAAAAATGTCTTCCATCTTATGGAAAATTAGCCCTTTGTTCAATTCTTAGTGTAGGCCGGGTGCTGTGGCTCACGCTCAGGCCTGTAATCCCAGCACTTTGGGAGGCTGACGTGGGAGGATTCCTTGAGCTCAGAAGTTTGAGACCAGCCTGGGCAACATGGCAAGACCCCCATCTATACTAAAAATACAAAAATTAGCCAGGCATGGTGGCGCACACAGCTACACAGGAAGTGCCAGAAGCCGGGAGGCAGAGGTTGCAGTGATGAGCCAAGATGGTACCACTGCACTCCAGTGTGAATGACAGAGGCAGACTCTGTCTCAATAAATAAAAAAAAAATAAAAAATTCTTAGCACAAACAACAAAATATGGCAGTATTAGCAGGACCTGTAACTTTTCACCAAGAGGAATCACAGAGGGTTCCTAGCCATGGTACAGGGGTTGCAGACCTTTCCGTATGGTCAAAGCCTGATTTGCAATTCTCACTCCTTCCAAACCAGTCGTAGTTAGTTAGACCTGCCGCTAGATCGCGTTCATAAGGAAAGCGCTTAGATTACTAAGCAGCCAATAAGGTTTCAAGACAATCTTTTAATGACTGCCTCTCCGTGTAACTGATTTCCTTGCAATTCTATGGATTTTATTCCATGCATTATAATAACTTTATCTGAGCAGGGGTCCGCAGGCTTCAGCTGATCCCAAAAAAGTCCCTGGAGCGGGACAGGCTGAGATCCGCTCTGCGAGAGGCCCTTACCCCACAGGGTTAGGGAGGGAGGTGGAGGGTCCAGCAGGGTGGTGTGGATGCCCTGGGTCCTGTTTCTTTCCAGGCCCGGCCCTGTAACTTCGAGGACTCTCGGACCCTCAATGGGCCTCAGTTTCCCAGCACGTCAGGCAGGCCACGCTCTCTCCGGGGCATCTCAAGGGCAGCCTCGCGGGCCGTGCCCTGGTCTCGGGGACGTGAGCGGGACCCCTCCAGCCTCCGCCCCGAGCGCCCTCCTGAGGCTGGGGGCTTGCGTCATGACCTGCCGGGTCTCGGTTTCCCCGACTGTACCCTGGACGCAATAACGGAGACCGTTCATCGCAAGCCGGGCGGGAGCCCGAGGAGCGGCCGGCTCTGAGAAGCCCGGAGAGGACGGCGGCCACGATGCCGGCACCGACCCACGACGCCACCACAGCACCCGAGGCTCCCACGGCCCCAGACCCGCGCGGCCCCACACCCGCCGCCGGCGCCCGGCTCACCTGACAGCGCCGCCATCTTGGCCTCGGCCTTCAGACAACCTCCGAGGTCCGTCCTCCTTAGCGCTCCGGGTCCCCGGGGCCGTCGCCCAAAGAGGCTCGGAGCGCGTGCGGAAACCGGAACCCAGAGCCAATAGGTTCCGCTGCGCTTTTGGCCTCCGAGGTCGTGCCTGCGCCGTGCAGCCCCGGATCACCCGAGACGGAAAGGTCATCGGAGTGCGCGCGTGGGGGCCGCGGGTCTGCGGCATCCCGACAAAAACAGATGGGACACTCTAGTTATTACAGGGGGGCAAAAAGTCCCCGCGCGTCCCTGGGTGGGCTCGAACCACCAACCTTTCGGTTAACAGCCGAACGCGCTAACCGATTGCGCCACAGAGACAGCGATGCGGCCCGGCGCCCGGGGAGACCTTATAAAGTATGTGCGTCCTGCTGACGCGAAATGAGCTACGCCTGCGCGGGGAAGGCGCTGCGCGGGCCGGAGTCGCGGCGAGAGCGACCCCTGCCGCTCAGCCGAAATAGCTCAGTTGGGAGAGCGTTAGACTGAAGATCTAAAGGTCCCTGGTTCGATCCCGGGTTTCGGCAAAAATTTTAGCGCCCCCTGAAAGGATTGGTCCGGCTGCCTCGCAGCTATCCCGGACCCCTCCTCGGAACATCATCCTATTCTGCAGAGGAGGAGTCAGGACGTGGACTCATCCCAAGGTAGAAGGGCTCAGACCTAACAACCCCAAAGCCACCTCTTCCCACCCCCAAGAGGTCATGATTTCAGCCCAAACTTCCCCCTTCCCTGACAAACCCTCGATTTTTCCATCTTGCTTAAATTGCTAAGTTTACAGCCCGTACTAATTACATAAAAACTAACACTAAATGCCCAAACTAGCAACAGAGTTTGCAGAACGCTTTCTGCATGCATATCATCAAATTTTCGTAATTCCACTGGAGGTTTTTTTCTGCCGGTTTTATGATTACGAAAACAGAGGCGAAGGCCAGCGCGGTGGTTCACCCCTGTAATCCCAGCACTTTAGAAGGCCGAGGCAGGCAAATCACCTGAGGTCAGGAGTTCAAGACCAACCTGGCCCATATGGTGAAATCTCATATCTAAATCCCAGCTACTCGGGAGGCGGAGGTTGCAGTAAACTGAGATCATGCCACCATACTCTAGCCTAGGCAACAGAGCGAGACTCCATCTCAAA